GTCCCAAATGCAGGGACTTCAGCCCAAAACGCCACAGTTCTTACTGGCGTTCAGTACAGCGGTCCCATGGTGGACAAGCGGGCGGCCACGCTGCCGTCCAAGTACGACGGGAAGGCTGACATCACCTCTTGGATTAGTTCCATGCGGTCGTACTTCGAGGTCATGCGGACACCGCAAGGGGACCGAAGTATGATCATGGGAACTAATACCGAGCCTGCCGTACGAAACCACATTGAGCTTCAAGCTGTTGCTGCAGGTTATGCACGCATAGACCTGACTAATTGGCTGAAGGTCACCCCTGTTCGCACCCTTGAGGATCTTCTCCTTGACCGGTATCAGGATAAACATGCTGCGCTCAAGGCTAGACTGAAGCTTGAGGCCCTCAAGGGCCAAACATGGAGGTCATCCATGCAGGCTTTGGAACAGCACTTGACTGGTCTATTCACCACTCCGGATCTAGGAATGACTGACGTGTCTTGCATGGATGTAGTCATGGGAGTGCCCCCTAAATAATACCTCTCCCTGCTAGCACTCAAAGACCATGCTACCTGGCGGGAGCTCATGAAGGACCTAGTCGACCTAGAGGCCAAGGACCTCGCCAGGCGCAAGAAGGCACCCGCTGCAGGTGGGAAACCACAACGCAAGCGGTTTGGAAGCAGCAACCAGCTTGCACTGCATGACCATCGGGAGGCTGACGGTCAGTCCTATGCGGATGATCTGTCTCTAGATGACGATCTAGAGCCGGACTCCGATACGGGCTGTTCCACATCAGCCATTGAGTGTGACCGAAATGATGACGAAAAACTTAATGCATTCAGAAAGACTGCTTCGAATAAGGGACCTAACCGTGGTTCGGGTAAGGGAACAGTTATACACCTTCCCAAGAATGCTAAGATCCCTGAGAAACCGGAGGACGCTTCCACCAAACCTTGGGAAGCCCTCCGCATCAGTCAAAAAGAATGGGAAAGAAGATCCAAACTGCGCGTATGCTTGCATTGTTCAAAGCCTGGGCATGCTGTGCATGATTGCTATCGTCTTCAGGGAAACAGGCAAGGGGCGTAGATGAGTCATCAGCACTCTCTACAGCAAGGGAAGTTGGGCAGTCAGTTGCAGGCCCTTCCGAGGAGCCTGGATCTGATCAACAGCGTTCTCTTGAAGCCCAAACTAATGCTGAATCCAAGGCTGA